CCCCCATATACCACCCACAACCCACACAGGGATACACACCCAACACAAAGACCCACATACACACATACACACACATCATACCCACACACATTCACCTATATACCACACACATACCACACAGGGATACACACAACACACATAGACCCACATACACACACACATTCACCTATATACCGCACACATACCACACAGGGATACACACCCCACACATAGACCCACATACACACACACACACACACACACACACACACATCATACCCACACACATTCACCTATATACCACACACATACCACACAGGGATACACACAACACACATAGACCCACATACACACACACATTCACCTATATACCGCACACATACCACACAGGCATACACACCCCACACATAGACCCACATACACATACACCATACCCACACACACACATTCACCTATATACCACACACATACCACACAGGGATACACACCCCACACATAGACCCACATACACACACACACAAAATACCCACACACATACACCTATATACCACACACGTACCACACAGGGATACACCCCCCACAAATAGACCCACATACAAACACACCATACCCACACACACACATTCACCTATATACCACACATATACCACGCAGGGATATACACACCCCACACATAGACCACACACACACACACCATACCCACACACATCATACCCACACACATTCACCTATATACCACACACATACCACACAGGGATACACACCCCAAACATAGACCCCCCCCCACACACACACCATACCCACACACATTCACCTATATACCACACACATACCACACAGGGATTCACACTCCACACATAGACCCCCCCCACACACACACACACATTAACCTATATACCACACAATACCACACAGGGATACATGCCCCAAACATAGACACACACACACACACACATTCACCTATATACCGCACACATACCACACAGGCATACACACCCCACACATAGACCCCCCCCACACACACACACCATACCCACACACATTCACCTATATACCGCACACATACCACACAGGCATACACACCCCACACATAGACCCCCCCCACACACACACACCATACCCACACACATTCACCTATATACCGCACACATACCACACAGGCATACACACCCCACACATAGACCCCCCCCACACACACACACCATACCCACACACATTCACCTATATACCGCACACATACCACACAGGCATACACACCCCACACATAGACCCCCCCCACACACACACACCATACCCACACACATTCACCTATATACCGCACACATACCACACAGGCATACACACCCCACACATAGACCCCCCCCACACACACACACCATACCCACACACATTCACCTATATACCGCACACATACCACACAGGCATACACACCCCACACATAGACCCCCCCCACACACACACACCATACCCACACACATTCACCTATATACCGCACACATACCACACAGGCATACACACCCCACACATAGACCCCCCCCACACACACACACCATACCCACACACATTCACCTATATACCGCACACATACCACACAGGCATACACACCCCACACATAGACCCCCCCCACACACACACACCATACCCACACACATTCACCTATATACCGCACACATACCACACAGGCATACACACCCCACACATAGACCCCCCCCACACACACACACCATACCCACACACATTCACCTATATACCGCACACATACCACACAGGCATACACACCCCACACATAGACCCCCCCCACACACACACACCATACCCACACACATTCACCTATATACCGCACACATACCACACAGGCATACACACCCCACACATATACCCACATACAGACTCACACACACCATACACACACACACACACACACATACACACACACACACATTCACCTATATACCGCACACATACCACACAGGCAAACACACCCCACACATAGACCCACATACTGACTCACACACACCATACACAGACACACACATTCACCTATATACCACACACATACCACACAGGCATACACACCCCACACATAGACCCACATACTGACTCACACACACCATACACAGACACACACATTCACCTATATACCACACACATACCACACAGGCATACACACCCCACACATAGACACACACACACACACACACACCCTCTCACATTCACACCCACATACCACCTCCACACCATACGCATGCATACCACACAGGCATATACACACCACACATAGACACATACATTCTCACATCATAAACATACATAGAAGTACACCCACACATATACACACCATACATATTCACAGCCACACACCCATACACTCACAACACCCACATACCACTTCCTCACCATATGCATACATACCACACAGGCATATACATACCACACATAGACACATACATTCTCACATCATAAACGTACATAGAACCACACCCACACATATACACACCATACGTATTCACAGCCACACACCCATACACTCACAACACACACCTATACACTATACACACACACCACACAGAGAACACACACAGATGTACACACCACACAGAGAACACACACCCATACACTCACAACACACGTATCTACACACCATACACACTCATACCACACACACATCATAAATTTTCATCCATATGCTCACAATATACACACAATACACTCCACACACCCATGCACATACATATTTACACCATACATATTTGCACCCACACACCCACACACTCATACAACACACACACCTGCACACCAGTACACACTCATACCACACATGCACACACCACACATAGACCCATATACACACACCATGCACATGTGTGTATATGCACTGACACACCACACACACCACACTCGTATACGCATACACCATACACACAGCACACATACACTCACACACTCATCCCCACGGCCCACACACTCACACCCCTTGCAGCAGAAGCCCAGAGGAGTGGTCAATTTCCCGAGTCTCCCACAGGAGCCCACTAAGGGGTTGGTTTTCTGAAGCCCCAGAAGCGGTCATGATAACAGCGTCTTCTTGCTCTCTTGGAAAACGATTTGCCAGAGACTGAGAGGGAGGGGAATGAGCAGGCGCCCCAGGTGGGCTGGCTGCAGCAATCCCCTCTCCTCCACTCTCCTCTCCTGATGTGGGGCGTGCACACGCGTGTGGCGTGTTTCTTGAGCCTCTAAGCCCCTGAGACCAGGAGTCTAATCACGACCGAGGGCTGGCCCTGACAGTCCTCTGCCCTCACTCCATGCCAGCCGGTCCATGGCCGGCTGTGTGTGCGTGGCCCTCCTGCTGGGCCCCGGGGTCCCTGGGAGGAGGGGCTGTGGCTTCCAGTTGAGATGAGAAATGGACAGGGAAGACAAGTCTCCTGTCAGAGGCACGAGGCTGCCAAGTAGTGGAGCAGCCCCAGGCCCAGGAGCCCGGCTGCAGTCAATGGACCTCCACGGTGCATCCGGCCTGGCCGTGTCCCACAGCCCGGGGTGGCACCCCACACCGCACATACACTGCAGCTTGGAAAGGCCCGGGCAGAGCCAGGCACTCCCTGGGCCCCGGGCCTCGCTGCGGCCCTCCTCAGCCCGCTGGTGCTTCCTCCCCAGCCTCGGGCCAGCCGGTGGCCCTGAAGAACATCACCACGGACATGTCGGGCTACTACATCTGCACCTCCAGCAACGAGGTGGGGAGCGAGTTCTGCAACATCACGCTGGCCGTCAGACTGCGTAAGAGCGGCGGGGAGGCTGGGGCCCAGAGAGTGAGCTGAGCCGCTGGGGAGATGACCTGCAGGGTGGCCATGCCACACCCACACCCCCAACTCCATACACTCACACCACCCCCGTGAGGCAGTGCCCCCACCCCCCAGCCAGCCCAGCCCCCTGGCTCTTCGGGCCGAGCTGAGGACTGACTTCTGGAGACATCCCTGCTCTGCCTGCCCTGGGGGCCGCTCACAGGCACTGCCACAGGGTCTGGACGCCCTGCCCGAGGGGTAGGACCTTCATCTAGCTCAGGGTCAGCTAGAGTGGGAGCAGGCGAGGCTGCCCGGGGACTAGTCAGGGCCTGCGTGGCTCAGAGAAAGTCACAATGCACAGCCACTGGCCATCCTGTCTCTGCCTGCACCCTCGTCCTAACGAGGATTCCCGGTCCTGTCTGGTGACATTGCTACCCGGCCAGCTCTGGGAGGGTTCCCAGAACTCTGCAGAGGCTGCTCCCTGGCTGGGGGCGGGCACCCTGAGGCTGGAGCTGCAGCTGCCCTGTCCCCTCGCAGCCTCCATGAACGTGGCCCTGTATGCTGGCATCGCGGGCGGCGTGGCAGTGGCCCTCATCATCATTGGGGTCATCATCTATTGCTGCTGCTGCCGCGGGAAGGACAGCAAGGCCGAGGACATGGAGGACGCGAGGCCGTGAGTGTCTGGGAGGCAGCCCGCTGGAAGGGGCTGAGCGCACGGGAAATGTGCAGCTGAGACCGCAGCTCAGGTGTCCAGCAGCGTCCCGGGACTGGCCGAGGCCCCCGGGTTTCCCGGCTTCCAGAGCCTGCGTCAGGGGGCCAGGCCCCCAGGATAGCAGGGCCTGTTCCAGTGATGCCCTAGGCACTGGTAGCAGTCCACTCTCAGTCCAGGTGGGGAGGGCAGCTGGTGGCTGCTCTTCGGAGTGCACAGAGGCCTCGCTCCTTTGGGAGCCCGCCTGAGAGCAGCCCTTCCCTCTGTCCCCCCACCTGCAGGAACAGGGCAGCCTACCAAGAGCCGTCACAGCAGCTGAGGGAGCTTCCCAACGAGAGAGAAGAGGAGGAGGGTGACTACGGGCACGAAGACCAGAGGAGCTCTGGTCGCCAGTCCCCCAGCCCCGCTGGCCGGTGACCAGGGCCTGCTGTAAGCTGGGGTGCAGGAAGGACTCAGGGTTCCTTTCCCTGCCTCCTCGCCTCCCTCCCCTCTCTGCCCCATTCTGCTGTCCCTGCATCCCAGATGTTGACGGGGATGGGGTGCCTCTTCCCGGGTCTACTTCTGGGGCCTAGTGGGCCTGGCGAGGGCACACCCACAGCCCACGCTGTGACCAGCTGTCCCGTGACGTGACCCCTTCCCATGCCGCACCGAGATGGACCTTGGACCAGGTTGCAGCCTCCACTTCCCTTGTAGCTCGGGAGCTCCGGAAGGCAGCACTGCTTGGGGGGTACTCCTGCTGGGGACCGCCCAGGGAGGCAGCGCTGGCCTCAGGGGCAGAGGCCGTCCCTCTCTCCCCGCGAGTCCCGCTCCCAGGAGAGGGCGCAGCTGGGCATTTGCACTCAGTACATTTTTGTTAAGTGAATAAAAAGGATAATAAGCACTAGGAGTCTTTAAAACATTCATGGAAAAACTGGAATTAGTTCATTTTTGGCACAAAGAAGTTTTACATCCATACATGGCTTTTTTCATAATATGCATTTTCCATGTATGTTTCGAAGACCCCCACATACATGACCGGTTCCCTTTTATTTATCCAACTAAGTGCACGCTCCTTACTTGGGGACACACCAACTCAACCTTCAGCCTCGTCTCCCACAGCTGCCCCGTGCTTCCTCGGCACCTCTGGCTAGGCCTCCTGCCCTTGCAGCACGCACCCTGCGGGACTTTTCCCACCTGTCCGTCTCTGCCGTCGAAATCCCCCCTGTCCCTCCAGGACCATCTCTGATCCTGTCCTGACGGCCCTCACCCACTCCTCGGCTGCATGGCTTGGTCATCTGAGTGTGGCTGAGAGCTGCCTGGTGTGAGTCTGGGCCTCCCTGCTCCTGGTGGCCCTGGCGTCCCACAGCTTCATCCTGGAAAGGACTGTGACAGGTCGGGCCTTCCCATCTGGCCCCCCTGACATGGCCATGAGTGAGGAGACTCTCACACGCCACGTGTTAGCTGAGCAGGTTGGGCAGGAATAGGTCGGAACGAACACACATGGGCGCTTGCGTGTGGCTGGCCCAGGGCTCTCCCGCCCTGGTGATCCCTTCAAGGCTGGACTAACGGGCATGCCTGCTCCTCTGTCCCAGAGCACTGTGACCCGGTCTGTCCATCTCCTGGCCCCTCGTCCCTGCCCCGGCCAGCCCCTCCAAGCTCTGGCTTGCTGTGGGGCGTCACCTCCCACCACCTCCCATTGGTCGAGCATTTTGCCTACTCTCAGGCGCTCAGGCAGTGTTAACGGCTGTTGAGGTCTCGGGACCAAATGGCTGGTCTCACCCAAATGCAGTTTACTTTGAAAGAAATAGTGTTGTTGGGGCCGGCAGGTGGCGTGGTGGTTGAAGGCACTGGATTCTCATGTCTCCAACTGCAGTTCGAGTCCTCAGACCTGGCGGCTTGCTCTCTTGCTTTTCCTCTCTCTCTCTCTCTCTAGTCAAACAAAATAATAACAATAATAAATGGAATTAAATAAATACATCTTGAAGAACCAGTGTTGTCTTTGCTAGATGACCAGAACAGCAATTTTACAAATCTGTTGTCTACCATGATTATTTCATTATTTTCTAAGCCAGGGTCTTCTGTCACGGTTCTCCTGCCTCGGTCTCCCAGCTGGGACTACATGCCCTCCTGTTTGTGTTTGTGTTTTATTTTAATTCTCCTGAGGGTGTGTGTGCTCACCAGAGACAGAGAAAGGGAAAACAAGAAAGCACCCCTTCTGGGATGACCACACTGGGACCACCTCTCCATTCTCCCCGTGGGATTTTGGGCACTCATGCACATGTTCCTGCTGTCACAGTTCTCCTGCCTCGGTCTCCCAGCTGGGACTACATGCCCTCCTGTTTGTGTTTGTGTTTTATTTTAATTCTCCTGAGGGTGTGTGTGCTCACCAGAGACAGAGAAAGGGAAAACAAGAAAGCACCCCTTCTGGGATGACCACACTGGGACCACCTCTCCATTCTCCTCGTGGGATTTTGGGCACTCATGCACATGTTCCTGCTGTGGCTGGACTCGAACAGGTCCAGGACTAAACATGGCAGTCGGCCACGTGGGATTCAGCTGCCTTCACCACCGTGCCGCCAGCTGGTACACCCTGCTCTTTTAAGACAGGATCTTGTTACGCAGCCCAGGTCAACCTCGAGCCTGCAATCCTCCTGGCTCAGTCCCCTCACACTGCTAGGGTTACAGGTGGTGTCTCTGCAGCAGGCCTTTAGGTTAGACTGAGAATCAAACCCAGGCCTGCCGCGTGGACACAGTGTCTTAGCCACCCCTGCCACCAGCTGGGCCCATTTATGAGTTTTAAAAATGTATATTCTTATATATTTTGTTAAATCCTTTCCTCCACTCAAAATGCTTTCAGTAGTAATACATTTTTTCTTTCTCTTTCTTTCTTTCTTTCTTTTTTTCTTTCTTTCTTTCTTTCTTTCTTTCTTTCTTTTGGGTAGAAATCCCTATTTCTTTCTTTTTTTTATGTGGGTTTTATTCATGCCACACCAGAGTTTGTGTCCCTTGGGTCTCGTCCATCCAGACAGGCCTCTGTGTGTGCTGGGAGAGGTGAAGTGATGCGATGGAGTTGGGAATCCTGGCTCCTATCACTGTGGCCACAGCAGGTCAGGGAGGCTCTGCAGTGACTACAGGAACAGGGCAGAGCTGCCACTGCCCAGCAGTGGAGGTTTATTTTAGGAGCCCACAGTGTCAGGGTGACCTGGCGGGTCTGGTGTCCACCACGTGCTTCGGGGAAGGTGATAGAGAGGCTCGTCAGATCTGCCTGCTTTTGTTTGGCTGTGTCTCAGAAATCCCTGTTGAAATGTGGCTGTGACAGGACCAAGAGGAAGAAAACTTAGTCTGACTATGGGGTTGAAAGGCAGGGACTTTGGAAGGAGATTCGGATTAAGGTCATTGGAGCAGGGCCCCGTGAATGACTCCTGGTGGATTCTAGAGGGAGAAGGAAGGAATTGGAGACAGATATAGACAGGCTTGCGTGGTCTCCGAGCAAGACACTCCACACTGCCTCAGGGCTGCAGAGAGCTTCTGCGGTAAGAAGACCCTTGCTGCATGGAGCCCCTCGAGGCTGGGCCTCAGCAATCCTGAGCCACACAAGTCTCCATTCTATGTAAATCTGGCCTTGTGTATTCAGCTGTCAGAGCAGAAAAGAGGACTGGAACGAGCCCCCAGTGGTGGCCCTGCCATTCCCCTGTCTGCACAGGCTGCCTTGACTTCAACACCAGCTGTCCTGTGCCCTGTGCAAGGTCCTGTCCCACCGCCTCCCCTGAGGTGCCCTGTGTCCCCGTCCTAGTACCGATCACACGGTGCTGCCAGGCCAGGCTGCAGCTCTGCTCTGCCCAGGCCTGTGTTCATGACGGGCGCTGAGTCTTACGCGTGGCCTGGCAAGTGTGTGCACTTGCTAAAGGTGTGGACAATGCCCAGTGTCACTGTATCTTACCCAAGGACGTCTCCTGGTCCTCCGGGTTCTTTGAGGTGCCTTACAGCAAGGTGCTACATGTGTGTTCTTGGGGCAGCCACTTTCCTGCCCTCAGCCTGGCTTCTCTCTGCTCCTCAAAGGGGAAGAAAATGAGGCAAATCAGAACTCCTCCCGTTACTTCAACAACAAACATTTGGTTGGCACCTACGAGCTCTGGGCCCGTGGCAGGGTATATAAAGGTCACCGAGACGCTGTCACCCAGGTGGAGCTAAAAACTAATGAACGGAACAGACAAGGACTGTGATGAGGTTGATGGGGAAGGAGCTACGGGAACGCGGCAGAGGGCCTGAGGAATGGACAGCTTCAAAGAGGTCACATCGGACTGCATCTTGAAGGAAAATGAGGAGTTTTACCAGCAGAAAGGGCTGGTGCCAGCATTCCTTCTGTCTTCCGTGCAGGTCTCTATTAATCGGGTGTCAAATCGCATTATCCACTGGCTGGACTCCAGCTTCCTCCTGAATTCATTTCAGTCCAGAAACACAGTGGAAAGTAGATTGTTAGAGGTTCTTCTAAGTCAAAATCAGCCAGCTCTATGGCTCCCTTGGCTGTCAGGCACCTCCTCCCAGTTTGTGGTTTCTAGCTGACAGCTCAAAGACGGACCTGCTTTAGAGCAGACGCAAAAGCAACCATTGATTGAGGGAAGGCTGTGTAGTAGACACTTACTAAGCACTTGAGACATTTTTAAATAAAATCCTTGCTTGCAGTTTCAAACATTACAGCTTATGGCAATGGTGAGTGTGCATTTATCCCTGGCTACCCAGGAGGTCCCTGCCAGGTAATATGTAGCTTGGTAAATTAGCCACTGTTTAAGGTCTTGTTCTTATGTTGCTTTTATCCTCAGTGACAGGGCATCCGCTCTCAAAAGCAGACTCACATTAACCAAGCCCATCAAGCCTGATGTACAACACTAACATGCTTAGCACTTCTCTGGGCCAGCCCCTGTTCTTAGCACTTTCCATAAAACATCTCATAATCCTCACAGCAACGTGACGTGGTAGGTGCTGTTATTCCATTTTATAGACGAGAAAACCAAGGCACAGTGAGTGAGATGAGGCAGTTCTGTGTTTGAATAAATACAGAATGTCAGTTTGTTACCTATTATCTGCCAGGTAGACCCAGCTCTGCCCGCCTGGCTCAGGCTGCTGTGGGATCATAACAAGAAGTTTGCTCCCTTCAGGGAACTCCTTGTGCCCTGAGTATAAGCAGGCATCGTATCCCCTGTGGAGATTCTGGAGCATTTGCTGGCCTTCGCTCCACCGTGAACACTTTGGATGGGGGATCTGGGCCTCAGCAGAAGGGATTGTCTGGAAAGTGCAATCCTGTAGGAAGGGCCTCTGTGGGGACACTGGGCATGACAGCTTGTAGAAAGGCGGGGCCCTGGTTTCTGTCCGTGGCCTGCAATTCCTCAGCTAGGTGTGTCACTCCTTCCTGGGCCACCGTCCTCATCCATACACTTCCC